GTGCCACACCATCATGGCTGTCAGGCTGAGGCCCCCCTGCCTACCCAGCAGCAGCTGGGGGCACAGATCTGTGCCTCACCTTGGCAGCTATGGCAGTGCATTGCTCCCTTCGATGCTGGGTCCTGCCTGCTGGGCCACAAGGGTGGCTCTTGACTGGAGTTGTTCTGGCCCGGCTGTAGCCCTGTACCCCACTGTAGCACAGAAATCTGGGAGGGGGCATGTGCCCCCATCCCCCCAATGCGTTGCCTGTGCCCCCTGCCCTGATAGACTTACCTAGAGGGAGCTGCGGGAGCTGCTCTCCACTTCACTACCTGGCTGCCATGTGCATGTGTGTGTGCAAACATGCATATGGCGTTGCCTACATCCTGCTTCCTGCTGGAACTCTGCCAGCCTGCAAAGGGAAACTCATGGTTTTCTGCATTTTTCTCTCTCAAAGGAGAAATCTGTTATTTTCTCTTTTAAAAGATAAAATCTAAGTTTGCTGTGGCAAACGGAAAACCCAGATCTCTGATTATCACTGAAAGGCTTCATGGGGAATTGTCCTTTTTATAAGGTGGGATTGGAAAGTATTAGTGCAGCAGTGGGCAAAATACAGCCTACAGGCTGGATCTGGCCCACCAAGGCATTTTGTGTGGCCTGCAGCAGGTCTTTTGGCTCTGCCTGGCCCAAGCACCATGGGCTGCCCAGGCTGTGGCACTTGTGGTCAGTCCTGCTGCCCCTGGGCACACAGCAGGGCTGGGGAGGCACGATGGCTGTGGCTACTTCAGGCTGCTGCCAGCTTCGGCCCTACTGCCTGGGCACCCTGACCTGTCCACCCTACACCCACTGTCAGGGATGGGACCTTCAAGGGTAGGGCATGTGACCTGAGTGGATGGGATGGGGCTGTGGGTGGGCAGGGAGTGGTGCGTGGGATGGGGGGGCAGGGCCAGGATCACAGGGCAGGGATATTGCAGGGCCAGGGTCTGGGGTAAAGCTGTGATTCATTGTCCGTATGATCCTGCGGTGGGCGCTGGTTCTGTGAGCAGGGGCATGCCAGAAGTGGGTTGCAGCTCTGTCCTGGGCCTTGGCTCCATGCCATCACGGCCCCATGATCCTGGGGCTGGCCCTGTTACTTCCCATCCTACTCCTAGAAACTATTCCCTGCTCGCCTACAGGCCCCCCTGGTCCTCCCAGCCCCATGCCCTGCTTGCACAGGTCCCAGCCACTCTCCAGGGAAACCCTGATATTGTCAGGTGGTTACAATGTAGGGCTGGGGCCCAGGGCAGAATTGTGATACCCTATCCGCATGCCCCTGCCTGTGGAACCAGCATCCATTGCAGGAACATGTGAGGAGTGGATCGTGGCTATGCCCTGGCCTTGCACTGTTACCATTCTGAGATCATGGCCCTGCCTGTCCTGCTTCCACTCCCGGATGCTGCTCCCCACTCCACCATGGCCCCATCCCATCCATCTGGCAGCACGTTGGGTAGAACCACTTAGGAAGTTTTGGTGAACTGTTGAGGGGAGGGGAGGGAGTGGGTGTGCTGACCCAGTCTATGACAGTTCACTAAAACTCCCTAAATGGCCCTCCGACCCAAATAATTGCCCACCCCTGTGTTAGTATCTTAACATGCATGGTAGGAGCTGGTTAAAAGTGTTTTGGGAGGAACAGCTTGACTAAAGAAAGCAGCAAGAGTTGGATAACAAAATCTGTTAACAGGGAAATGTATGGAATAGCAGTGGCGGGCAGAGTAGGAAAACTATGGAGAGAGAGAGGCAGGAGCAGAATTCAGTAGGGAATTGGCTGGGATGACAAAAGCTGCAATGTAGTGCAAAAGGTGAGCAGAAGCCAGTATCAGAATTTGGATAGGATGATGTGGGGAGAAAAGGGGGAATTTCCAGAATACTGCTGCAAAACTGCAAGCAAATTTAGGGTGCACATGAACTGGTGGACTAGTTCTGAGACTCAAGTAAAAACCCAGAATGGGGTAAACAGCTCAGATATTGTAACATGTATCAGTTGCAAAGAAGTAGGAAGCCAGACATTCTGTAGTCTGGTAATAGTGGTTTGAACATTGCTGGACTGGGATAGCTACTAAAGGTCACCAAGGGCATTCTTTTTATACTTGGGGTATTCTACTGTCTGGTGAACAGCCTTTCTGGTAGGGGTGCATTGTTAAAGATTTTTTGGGCCGATACCAACGACCAATTATTAACTAGCTGTATTGGCCGATACTGATCCGATTGCCAATTATGCAGCTCGATAACTTGGAGAGCAGTGTCCAGCTGGTAAGTCTGTTGTGGGGGGAGGGAAGAAATGTGACGGGGGGAGGGGGAGTAGATTGAGGCCCCTGCAGTGAGGAACGGGGGGGTTGTGGGGTGGGCTGTGGCCATCTCCGTATTCATCGTAGCCTGCCTTCCCCCCCAGCTCCATTGCTGCCCGGCCCAACTCCTTGCCGGGAAGAGCCCAGCGCTGCCCCTGGCCCCAGCTCACAGTGGCAGCCTGCCTTTGCCCCAGGCATGGATCTGCGGGGCCCAACAGACTTACCAGCCGGACGCTGCTCTCCAAACTGCTGAACTGGTTGCATGCATGGTGCGGCTGTGTGCATGCACCAGGCATCTATCGGTGACATTATCAGCTACACCAGTCAAAACAAGCTGATTGCCAGTAATGTCAATCTTCCTCTTATTGGTGTCAATATGATATAGATCGATGTATTGGTGTACCTCTACTTTCTGGAAATGTGTAAAATGCGAGTAGATCTGTTTTTTTGTGTTGTGTGTTTTTTGTTTTTTTGTTTTTTTGTTTTTTTTCCTCGATGGTGGGGCCTCACAGCAGCTATTCGGACATCACAACCCTGGAAGAAGCAGCTTGTTACTTCAGCATAGCTCTGCAGTGTTTGTATAGATCAGACACTTCAGTGGGACTTTTGCGCTTTTACCTAAAGCTGAGTTAATCACCTCTTGGATAAAAGCACCAAAAAAATCCCACTAAAGTGCCCAATCTATACAGATATTAAGCGAGCTGGGTCCAGCTAACGTGCTGCCTCTTCTGGGAGCGTGTTGAGTTTAAAGTGCCGCTTTTTTAACGTCTGCAAGCAGCCCTAAGTGACCCTGGTTCAGGCTGGAGGGAAGTAGCAGCAGGAGCCTTTTAGAAAAGGAGCCCTCTTACCTGCCCCCTGGCTACTGCTCTGTCTCGCTATTCCTAAAGGCGAATATGGATTTATTTTAAGGGCTTTTAAGTTCTTGTACTACTGATCTAGGGTTTAAAGTAACACCTTTTCCCGTATAATGAACTGGAGTAGGGGGTAGAGATAACTCTTCTCAAGTACAAGCTTAGGTTGCTAACATAGAACAAGGCTAAAATGCTACACAGGCTTAAACTGTCCTTTGAGGCTGACTAAATGTAATCCTTCTTGTTTGGTGTGTATGCTTCCTTTGTTGCCCTTTTGTAGATCAGAACCTTTGTATGTGCCTCATTTTGTCCTTCAGTTCCATTTTAAATCTTGATTCCTATGCCTGATATACTTTGATTATTTTTTTTGTTGTTGTTTTTTTTTTTAAGCTTTTTTTTTTTGCAGGACCTGGAGAAATTGCTTGGCTGCTGTATGTGAGGTTTGATTTGCTCATAGAGGTGCATGCCTTCATCACATGGCATTCAAAAGCCCATTGCCATAGCCAATATGGATAGGGAAGCCAGAGAATTGTACAAAAGTTTGGATTTTGTAGACCAAGAAAGTACCTGTTAAGTTAGATCAGTGTCTGTGGTTTAGTACTAGAAAAATCTTACATTTTATGTAGTGTTGGGGGTGATGTAGCCGTTTTACTTTTAAGTAGATTAAACATCAGTTTAAGGAACCAAACCAGTATTATGGACATTTATTTAAACTCTAAAGTGGAGGGGTCGAGATTGTTGAGAGAGTCAGTATTATCCAAAGAAGCTCCTGGCCAACATCCAGGGATTCAAATCCAAAATAATTGAAACTCAGACACATTTTTGTTAAAGGAAGTCTTCTGGGCAGCATTGTAGTGCATTAATGATTAATGCATATAACCTGATATTCAGAAGTTAATTTTCAGCGTTAATAAATGGAACAAAAATATTACTTCGTGTATAACATTTCACTTGTGTTTGTTTAATTTGTCCTGTGCGTTTCTCTGCCTAAAAAGGAAGCTACCCTGCAGTACTCAGATTTTACTGTCAAATAAAACTTCAATCAATTGTAAAATATGTCGGTAGGAGATGCACATTATATGGGCTGAAAATGAAGATGGCTATATTGCTCTGCTTCTTTAAGCATTTGCAACTCGGTTGTGATAATTGAGTACATTTTGTTCAGAGTTGTTTGTTCTTCCTCAATTTTTTGCATCTTTTTTGCACTTGTAACAATAGTGTTATCCAAGTACTAATTGCTGACTAATTTTGTCATGATTTTATTCAGCTGCTAATTTGTATGATTTTATTCAGCTGCTAAATTGTCATACTTGACATTAGTCTTGCTTTGACATGCACTGAAGGTTGCTAGAAATATGTGTATGACTTTAATGGAAAAAATTAAGTACTAAACTAGGTTCAGTATTACTAGTGAGTGTATTTTTTTATATTGAAAGTAGATGAGTCTTGAGAGAAATATAACTTTTGATTATATGTAATATTGTGTAATAAATGGAGAAATGAATGTCATTTTTTTCCACTACAGGGAAGCAAGGTGCAGACAAGAGTTGGATTACTAATGTTGCTTTGTACCTGGTTAAGCAGCTGTCCAATAGCTGTCACACATTTTCTTCACAACCCAGCTAATATTCCATTTGTATCCTTTGTTTACGAAACAAAGTTTTGTTCTGAAAAAGCTTTAAATTTGCAACATAAAAGCTGTATGATGACATGGGTAAGTTTGCAGGAATACTGTAGAATATTGGAAGATCGTGAATTTAGGGTGCAAAAATGTTGCTTCTTTAGTGTTGAACAGACTCTGACTAAAGCATAGCCAGAAGCTGTGAACTTTAAACCACTGCATATAAATCTATAGGGAAAACTGAAGTGGCACTTAGTTCACAGGAGTGGCCTTACTGTAACTCCTTTTGCTTGATTTTTATCCTGTGATAAAGGAAAAGTGAACTGGGACAGCTTCCTTTTGAATGAAATGGGGCAAACTCCCAGTTTAGCATTTGCTTAAGGCAGGATTAGGGCAGGCAGATGGACAGTTACTGTATGTCAGATGCTCTTTGGTAACTTCCAGTCTGCTTTAAATTCTATGTAATTATATTCATCCCTACCCAATGTAAGAGTAGGCAGCTATTGGCAAAATTGCCCCTAAGAATATTCTCCCAGCTTAGCATGTCTTGTAGCAGATCAGCTCATTGGTGTTTTGACACTATTGCTCTTATGTTTGTAACATCACAGAATTGGAAAATATCTCCTGATTTTGTTGAATTGTAATGAAATATTTTCTTCAGCTGATAGTGTAATTTACTGTCCAGTCAACAGTAGATGGATGCTATCTTAAGAAAACTTGCAGAATAAATGTGTGCAAGAAATATTTTGGGAAAAAAACAATTCCATTAATTGAAATTTCAAAGGCTTATCCAGATATTGAACTTTAAATGGCAATATGCATAAATTGTACACTAGCTATGATGTAGTATATTAATGTTATCACATTTTTAGTTCATAAAGGATTTTGTGTTTTACATTTTGATTTGAAGCTTCAGTAGCAAATTGAATCTAAAGATGATCTATTGTAAGGGTATGTTGTTTGTATTTTATTTAATGAAATGGTCAGACATCCTTAGCAAGAATTCAGCTCACAGGACAGATAGCTGAAAACCTTGGAGAAGAAGAACATTTAGTCCAAGGCCTGTCCGCTCTTCTGCTGGGTATTTCCATTTACTATAATGACAATTCCTTGGAAAACTATAGCAAGTAAGTGTATTATAGTCGTAACCTGAGACTTAAGGTAAAATTTACGTAGGCAACTGATTGGTTCCTAAATGAATATATTAAAAATCATTTGTAAATGAGGAATAGTACAGTTTGGATGCAAGATATTCTAATTTAACACTGTTCACTTTTAATATAACCTGTAGAGGTAGAAATCAGGTGGCTGGAAAATACCAGAGGGTTTTGCCATTCTGATCAGCTGAAAAGCTGGGTATTCCCTGAAGTTATAAGTACAGTCCTTCTGAAGTACAAACTGTTAGGCTTATCTTGCCAAGGATTATTGTAGATATTATTCCTTCATATCTCCTGTTGGATGGGCCTTTTCACCTGTGAAATCTTGTCCTATGAAGAACAGACAATGGCAGGCTGAAAATAACCCTTTCCAGTGCTAAGAAAAGCCCTTTACTTCATAGGAAGAAGGGGAATTTGTTACAGATAATTCAGACTGGCAAAAAATATAATTTGGTTCAGAGATAAATGAAAGATGGGTTTTCAGCTTCTCTTTTTTTATTTGGTTTTTCATAAAATTCAATGGTAATGTTTTTTGTTTTGTTTTTATTCTAGAGAGAAACTAAAGCAACTGATAGAAAAGAGGATTGGCAAGGAGAATTTCACTGAGAAACTAGGCTTCATTAGTAAACATGAACTGTATTCCAGAGCTGGTCAGAAGCCTCAGCCTAGTTTTTCTAGCCCAGATCACATGATGTTTGATCATGAATTTACTAAACTGGTAAAGGAACTGGAGGGTGAGACATGTTAAGCTCATTATTTTTAGTTTGTTATTTTTGGATGCTGCTAAACTACTACATGCCCTAAGTTAAGTCTTTTAAATATCCTTCACTTAAAACTTCAAGTTTGATCACACTGTTAGCAACTTGTTACAACAGCAAGGTGGAATAGCCTGACTTGGGTCCTGCTTGGGCCAGTGCTAGGACTCAGCCATGGTTGCTGCTTGTTGCCTGGCTACAGCCATAGGTTGCTGACCCATGTAAGCAACGTGAAAAATGTTGTGTCAGAATCTTGGGCAGGGATTATGATACATGTAGCTTGCAGGTCAGATTTTCAGCTAGAATCATAATAAAGTAGGGCTGGAAGGGACCTTTGGAGTTCACTCAGTCAAGCCCCCTGCCTGAGGTGGATCATTCGTATCCAGGCCATCCTATACAAGTCCTTGTCTAACCTGTTAGTAAAACAACATAGACACAGTCACAACCACTAGGTATAACACCCTAACATGGCACAAATAAAGTTGGAGGGAAGATGGATGGGGAAGAGAAGATGACAAGGGTGGCCAGTGTTTTGATGTTGTAAAAGTTGCTAAAATGCACTTGAGAGATCCAAGAAAGAGGGCAAGTCTTCCTCCTCCCCACCACTCCTTCCTCAATTACAGAGGAAGACAAAATCCCAGTCTACCAGTCTGGCCAGTGGTTCAGGGATCCAATTAGAACAGAGGTGGGCAAAATGCAGCCTGTGGGCTGGATGTGGCCCACCAAGCCATTGTATCCAGCCTGCGGGTCCCCTAAAAAATTTAGAAAATTAATAAATACCTGCCCTGGTCTGCCTGTCATGCGGCCCTCGGCTTGCCAAAACGCAGTAAGCGCCCCTCTGCCCAAAATAATTGCCTGCCCTTGAATTAGAGTATTGGGGGTGGGGGGTGTTTAACATCATCTGGCCTCATAAGACTGTTAAACGGACAACTGACTGTGTTCTCCATAAAAGAAGGATCTCACTATTAGCAGTGATAGTCAATTAGCTTGTTTTTTATATGGTACCATGAGGTTTATTTCTGAAGACGGCAACCAGAAAGCCATCTTTCCTAGCGATTTACTGTGCATTATTTATCCTTACAAATTGTGTGTTAGAAAATGGAGTTTGTGCCCTCTTTGACTGCTTATATGGAATAAAGGAGATCTAAAAACCACGTTTGGGAATATTTGGGTACATTTTACACTAAGAAAATTATGGTAGGGATTAAAAAAAAGCCTTCAAACTTCTTTAGCTTCTTGTGAAAGGGGTAGGGAGGTTGTCACTCAGCCAACTTCCCAGTTGGTAATACTAGTTGAATTAAATAGGTATTGGGGGAAATAGTACTGATTTATTGCTAAAGAATTATTTTTTTTAGTAGGCATAAAAATAACTAATCAGGTTTCATTTGCATGGATTTACAGCACTTCCCAGCCTTCTAGCTGTCCATATATGTTGTCAGGAAAGGATACGTTAGTGAATATCTTAATGCAGACAGAACATACATTTGTCAAGAAAAGGGGTAGATAGCAGTATCCTTTAAGACTCGTCATAAAGTAGAAAAAAGCTCAAGTGTTCTTATGTCAGTTTGTAAAAACTTCCTTGATTTCTTCATTTTAAATAAGTATAAGTGACTAAGAACTTGAAAAAATAGAAGCTGTCTCTTTCCAACAAAGTAATGATTTAAATTGAGGCTGTGGGAATGTTAAAAGAACAGAAAATGTGCAGACTGTTCTGAATAACAAATACTCAGTTTTTTGACAGGTGTCATAACAAAGGCTATTTACAAGTCTAGTGAAGAAGACAAAAAGGAAGAGGAAGTGAAGAAGACATTGGAACAGCATGACAACATTGTGACTCATTATAAACAAGTCATTAGAGAGCAGGTAAATATAGGTTTATTTAAATTACCAAGGATCTGGGTTTTCCATTTGCTGCAGAAAAATGCAGATTTTCTCCTTTTAAAAGAGCTGCTCAGGGGGCGGTGTGTGGAAGGAGGGCGATCACAGGCAGGGGACACCATGTGCACACATGCATGTAGCAGTCAGGCAGCATGGAGAGCAGCTCCCTCTAGGTAAGTCTAAGGGGGGGACGACACGCAGATTAAGGCCTCCACAGTCAGGAAGGAATAGGGGGGCGCTGGGGCAGGAATTCAGGGCCCAGCTGGGGGAGCAGGATGGAGCCATGGGCAACTCATCCAGGGGGCTGTCTGCTTACGTTGCCTGCAGTCTCAGGGAGGGAGGCATGGGGGGGTGGATGCAGGCTGTCTTCTGTGGGTTCAGGGCTCCCTGCCCTGCTGCCCTTCCTCGGGGGTCTGCACAGTCCAGCAGGCAGGACCTGGCACAGGAGAGTAGAGGGGGTCGGGCAGGCTTGGTGCCACAGTTCTAAGTCCCATGCTGGCTGCGCCTCCATGGCAAGGAGTTCCTTGCTTGCCCAGTAGCAGCGAGGAGCACAGCTCCATGCTGCCACTACTGCTGCCACATGGATAGGGGGTCCTGCCTGCTGGACTGCAGAGACCCTAGTAGGTGGGGGGCAGCAGGGCAAGGAGCCTCTGGGCAGCCACATTCTCCATTCCCCCCCCCCCCCCCCCCCATGGGCTTTGCTCTAGTTGTGCTGCCTGTGGGCGGGGGTAGGGGCACACTGCACTCCACTTTGGCCATAGCAGCTGCTGCTGCCTCCTGCAGGTGGCAGCCAAGACTGGGGGTGCAGGGGCAGCATGCTGCGGGCCTGGCCCTAGTCCCATAGCCCTGGCAGCTGGGGGCACCCTCTGGCAAGGCTTTGGGGGGGGCCCAGGGGACTGTGGGTTGGGAGTGAGGGGCACCGGCATATCAGGGCTTCTCAGTGCCACAAAACAGCAGGGGGAAAACCTTCAGCTGGACTAGCATCCTAGTGAGCAAAGGGTGCAGGGGGAGCTCCGATTTTCTATAATAAAAAAGTAAATGCCAAAATATATAGGTATTTAAAATGTATGTTATTATAATGATTATGGCACTGTTAGGCTTCCAAATTGCTTTAAAATTGTAAATATATAAATAGAACATTGTGTTCAGTGGATACCTGTACAGTGACGATTCATTTTCATCATGGGAAAATGTGGATTTTTGGGGGATTTTAATCGGAGTATTTGCAGCTTTTAAACGGAGAAAATCAGGGTCCTTCTATATTACACTTATGCAGTTGGGGAGGTGATATTAACTCGGTTTTGGGGTCTCTGGAATATAATTTCTAACCAGCCATTCCAAAATGTAAAAGAGGAAACCTGAGGAAACAAAAGGATTTTAAAAAAATGTTCTGACTAAATAGTGGTGCTGAGAGAGCTTAATTGTTCCTTTTTATCTTTTTCCCTTTCAAAATGTTGCTTTCTCAGAGCAGTAGTATAGACTTGCAGAATCCACCATCCTGTCCTTAAATATTATGTTTCATTTAGTTCTTTGCTATGGACTCAAACCTCAGAAGGTATGGGTGGCCAAAGCAGAAATCGGAAATGGATTTGTCGATCAAGAACAGTGGACCAAAGAATGGTATTGAGGGAGTCTGTAACCCAAAATTGTTTGGATTTCTAATATATTTTCTACAGTCGTTTTTATAAATCTCATTTAATTGATTTTTATAGCTTGGACAGAAGCTTAAGTGCGAATTATTAAGTAACACCATCTTATGAAGCTGATAGGAAACTGAAGCAGGAGTTGATTGGGATGTAGTTGCTTTGAGCTAAATGCAATAAAATAGTGCCATGATCATAGAATCATGGTTGTAAGGGACTTCAGGGATCATTTGTTCCAGCCCCTGAACAAATGCAGGGTATGTTATTGTTATATTATCCTAGACAAATATCTATTCAGCCTCTAGAAAACCGCCAGTGAAGGAGATTCCACAACTTTCCTGGGCAACTTGTTCCATTCTCTTGCTCCTCTGACAGTAAAGAAGCTTTATTGCCCCACCCCCTCCCCTTCATGGTATAATCTTAATCTGTTTTGCTGCAGTGTTCTCGGCATCACTCCATTCCTGTTCTCAGTGGCAGGTGGTTGGGCTTGTATCATTGCTTTAAAAAAATAAATAACAAAACTTGATTTAAATGGCTTCCTTCTGTCTGCCCTTAACAAAAATAAAAATTGCTGCTTGTACTTGAGAAACACAAGTAGCAGGAGCTGGAACTGAGAAACTAGTAGCAAAACACCTTAAAATGCACCGGCTTCATTCGGATAAACCTTGAAGGAACATCTTTATGTGGTGGGAACAGTCTCTTTTTAAAGCATGTTCCTTCCTGCTTCTAAAGAAATTTTAAACGATCTGTTCTTTGTTATTTTTCTACCTAGGACATTTTGATTATGCTGACACTTAAAACTTGCAGCATAGTATGTATAAAGCATCCATGAAATACATAACGGGCCATACTGTTCATCCTTAGTTTTGCATGCATTCAGGTGTGGGTTGATGGGTAGCAGTCCATGGAATTCTCTGTCAAATATAAAACAGCTCTGTAGGTGAGGCTTATGGCCTTTACTTTTAAATGCTTTGTTGTCTGCAGTGCTGTTTTAACATTTGAGATGCAAAGTTGAGTGCTCAGAAATTTTGGCATGCCAGGAATAAGTTGGCTTGTGAAACCAGAAATTGTGTCTATTTTGTGCTTCCATTATGGCACCCTTTAAATGACTACATGCCGTTCAGTGTCGTTCAGTGCTCAGAATGGCTGGTATTCACTGAGCAACAGGAGCCCTGTGGCAGAGGTAGAAATAGAATTCAGTTCCCTTAGGGATTCAGCTCAAGCTCCTTGGCCACTGGGCCATCCTTTCTTTTCTGTTCTACAGTAATGGTAGTAGCAATATCCAGCTTCAGTCTTCCTCAGCAAATGAGATGGGTACTACAACAATATCTGTACATATTCATCCCCAAAGTAGATCCATTTTGTACACTGAGACAAGTTGCTTTGGAAAAATTGTGAGAGATCAGGTACTGAAGACAGTATAATTAAAAAAGAAAACCCAAACCAAATCCCTTTGTAGATGTAGGTTATTAACACAACCACATAACCATACCTGGGGTATTATGATCCCAGCACTCATTCCTGCCCAGGGCAGGGGGTCAGACTTGATGATCTGTTCAGGTCCCTTCCGACCCTACAGAACTAGCACTGATCCCAATACATATCCCTGGGGGGGCTGCTTTTTTACTTCTAAATGAGATACAATTGCACAGACTTCCTTTCTATAAAGAACTGCACATTTCTGAGGTTGATTTACAGACAGAACTACGAAACCTCTCACCCTCTTTTCTCCACCCACCCATCCACCCCTAAAAACCCATTTTGGGCTATAAACTCTGATAATGTACACACATGTTTCAATGACTTCCTTGCTCACTGTATGTTAGGTCTTGCTTGGGAGAAGGACAGGACTGCATCTCATTCTATCTTCTCATTTTTAAGAAACTTATTATAGCAGGTTGGGGATTTGCTTAGCTCAGTCTTTCATTGCTTGCGGTCCTTGTCTCTGCCTCCCCGGGGCAAACTACCCCCTGGCGAGAATCAACATATAGCAGTGTAAACAAACAGGTAGCATGTGGTCTTTTCCCAGACCAACAAGGGTGCTTGGGCTTGCGAGTGCCCAGGCTCGGGTCTGCCACCACCAGCTCGCGTTCTTTTATCTCCATCAGTTTCAATCCAGCAAGTCCCAGTCTCTGTAAACTCGGTCTCTCAGCAGCTTTCTGGGTTTCTTCACAGTGTATCAGACCCATGGAGAGCTCCCTCACTCAGGCTTCCATCCCCACTCCATGGCCTCCCTGTTTCTCCCCTGGGCTCTCTCTGGGAGCCTTTTAACTCCCATGGAGCAAGCTAATTATCTTTGTCAGCAGGCTCAGTCCTCCAGAGCAGGCTTGTAGATGCAGCTCCTGCTATGCAGCCTCCTATACTTCTCTCCACATTGCAGCATTAGCAGGCACTTTTCTTTTATAGTCCTCTTCTGTTGGATAGTTGTACCAGGACAACAAGTCCTCATGCCTGTCTTTTAGTGAATAAGATAGCTTTTCCATAGGAAATATGTACTATATTCTCTTTTTCCATTCTCCCTCATTTGGTGGGGTTGCCCATCTCCATTCTCTAGTTATCATGTTTACAACTGCTGAAATGAGATGGATGCATAGAGATTTGTAGTAATCCACAGCTGGAAACTTTGGAAATAACCCGAGAAGGAACATTTTGGGTGCAAGGGCGAATTACCTGCCAGTTTACTGTGTAAATATTTTTTCCTTACAGACACTTGGCTTGAGCACTATAAAAAATGATTGCAGAGACGTTAAATGTGGTGCTATAAAACATGCTGCAACCGAAGTTCCTGTTGTGCTGCAGAAATATTTCTATAGCACTGGTGCCATTTTTGCAGTTTTATTGGGGGCATGAATGTCTGTTCCCTCAACTTTTATACCAGTACAGAGGTGTTTATATCACTACAAATAAAACACCTGCCCAGGGCCCTTATTTTCTCACTCTTCTGTTTCTGCTTCGTCCCCACCTAGGCTTCTTCTCCAGGTCGCCTGCTGTTAGTTGTCCAGCCAGTTGCTTTTTGTCAGTCTCTTTAACCAGTGCCAGTATGCTCCCACCCCTTGACCCTAGCCTTCCTATGCATTTAAATACCTGACTCCCACTCTATTCTTCTGCCTCTTCCACTGCAAGGCTATGAACAGATTCAATGCTTGAAGTGTTCCAAAGGTAACTCTGAAGGAAGTGGATACTATTTAGAAGCACTTCAAAATAAATTTCTCCTGTAACATATAAATGCTCTACATAGGACAATAAGGGATCCCTGGGTCCTCCAGCATCCTCCAGTAATCTGCTTTGTGCCCCTCATGGCAGGGAATGTGGGGCACTCAGTGACTGCTTTCCTGTCTGCTCTACCCCTGCACTGGAGCATCTCTTCCATCAGTACCTCGAAGACCCCAAAACCAAGATTCCTGCATTTCAGTCCCCAGTCCCTATAATACATTTCTCCCTGTCTGGTCTTCTGCTTCCAGTGGGGAATCCTCCTGTTTCTGATGTTGGGGTCCCTAGTCTCTCAGTTCTGGTAGGGAGTTGCTCATTGATGTTGGCTCCACTTCTATCCCTGTCCACTTCTGTCCCCTTCTCCCTCCTGAGGTGAGGATGGGGTTAGGGGGTAAGCAGAGCAGACTCTTAGCTTTACTCTCCAGTGGTCTGGGGCCAGGGGAGCAGCGCTGCAGTGCTGGCTGAAGAGGGCATGCAGCCATGGAAATTTATGAAGTGCTGCAGATGGAGGGGTTGAGGGGAGTCAGTGCAGCAGGGGAATGTACATCTGTCTGTAGCTCAAGTGCTCCATTTTGGAAGCACTTAAAATGTCTGTCCCTATCACAAATCTCTCTGCCTAGACAGTTCTAGTTGCAATCTCCCTTGCCTTCCCCTTTGTCCTAATCTGGTCCCCTCATTCTCTGCAAGGTGTGGCTTTCCCCTCATTGTGCAGATGGGCATTGAAAATACAGCAAAGACAGGTTTGCTAGGACCAGGACCTGCTGTGGCCTGCATCAGCCTGGTGCTGTGAGACAGGCTCAGGCGATCCACCTAGCATCTGATGCCCCCTAGCAGTCAGATCTGCCTGCCCATGCTCCCCAGCCTCCCCTTATGTCCTATCTCTTGCCTGCCATGATTTGACTTTTAACTGGGAAGACTGCCTCCAGAGGCTGGCCTCCTGGCCTTTCCTCTGTATACTGTCCTTGAGGTTCCTCTGTCCCAAACTTTGGGGTGGGTTTCCCATTCTAAAACAGTCCCAGTTGTGCCTTTGGGGCAATAATTGTGACCTCCAGCCACCCCCATAGTCATGCCCATATCTTGCAGATGTCAGTCAGTGTTTTGTGGTCTGGTGGGAGGGTTGAGCCCTGGGCCTGATTCTGCACTCAGTCCCTCAAGCCTTGAACCTTTGTTGGGACTTCTGCCTTCCTGACTTCAAACTCTTTCCTCTAGCTGGACCCCCAGAGCCAAGGTCCACTGTCCCAGACCTCAGCTTCTGAGCCCCTGCCCTTTCTTTCTTGCCCTCTTGAGCTCTAGGGCCCCTGGCTCTGGTCTCATGTGGCAGCCCTTAGGGGGTCTGGCCTTGGCTGGACAGCTTGTATGTTGCTTGGTCCCTGACCCTGGCTGGGCAGCTCTATATTGGGTACCTCCCAGGCACCCCCTGTGGGCTCCTTTCTATCTCTGTTAACCAAACTTAAGTATAACAAAAATGTAAACAGATTGCTTCCACAAAAGTTCTTCCCCACTCTGGGTCAATACCCCACTGCAAGCTATACTCCCCCCTTAGCTGTCTTGCTCTTGCTCTCATGGGTAGCATGAGTGTTCCTGGACCTGTTTCCAGCAGCCGGCTTTCCTGGCGGGCTCCTCGCCCTAAAGTCTGCAGTACCAGATTGCCTGCTGCAGCTCAGGCCCTATGCTTATATGCTTTGAAGCTCTGCCCCCTTGCTGTCCTGTGGCTCCCCAGCCACATGCAGGAGTTTCCCCTTTTACTTAAGGACAAGCCTGTGCTCCTGCTGATGCAGCCCCAAACAGCCAGTTTAGCCTGCTGCAGAAAGTAACAGGAACCTCTGGCTCTATTTTACATGCTAATTTCAAAGATAGTCCTTTCCAGTTCTGGACTAGAATGTGCTCAGTGCTGATGGCAAGCTTCCTGTGGAGCTCTAGTAATTATTTTTCCCAAGGTTTTATAATTTTGTCAGATTTGAGCATATATTCACAGAGATGGTAAAACACTACCCTCTGTCACATTTTTATGCATGGAGATGCTAGAACTTATTCTCTGAGGCTTAACATGAACAAAATAATGCATTGTTATTTCAGTCCCTAGCTTTCATTTCTGAATTGACCAGACCATTTTGGACAGAATTTTCCATAGTTCAGTGGAGGTTTTTCAGGTTGGAACTTAAAGTTGCTAAAAAGGTATAAGCAATGAAAGCAAAGTCATCCTATAGAAATGTAAGGTTGGAAGGGCCTGAAGGGTCATGTTGTCTGGGCATGGTGAATCCATGGCATGGGTACTATAAATGGCAAATGCAACCTCAGTGTGTGGTATGTGTGAGATCAGGGAGGCGACAGGCAAAGGAACAAAGCAGCAAATTAGTCAGGGAGCACAGAGAAAGAAGCTGGAAAGCAGAACACAGCATATCACACTGGCAGCGGAAGAAGCAGGAGATTGGACAGTGGAAGGAGATTGGCATGGCACTTCGGGAGGGTGTGGGGCTAATTTGTGGTACTCCTGCCAAAAAGGTTGGCCCCCACTGATCTGGTCCAGTTCCTTGCACAGCTACAGGATGTGCTGCTTAAATCATCCCAGTCAGATGCATGATGGAAAGTGCTGGGGAATCTTAATAGGCATTGGTTCTTGTTTTGGAAGTATTTGTCTTCCAGCATGTACTTGTAAGCAGTCCAGAAGATGTTGGGGAAAAATAACTTAAAGGTTTGGTAAATGTCAATTCCAGTGCATCAGTTTTATTGCTTTATGACACTTTTCCTACTCCTAAAGAATTTTCCACAAGTAATTAAACAGAACTATAATTTTTTTTATTATTATTCTTTCACAGGATCAGCAGCTTGAAGAATTAAAGCAACAAGTTAATTCCTTAAAATCTCAAAATGAACAGCTTCAGGCAACACTTACACAGCAAGTGTCACAGATCCAACAGCACAAGGACCAGTATAATCTCCTTAAAGTACAGCTAGGTATACGTCAGAAAAAATCTAAATCTCTCATTGTTCTGTACCACCTGCTGAAGGCCCTGTGTTGTTCACTGTAAGCGACCTACTTTTTTGCAGCAAATAATCTTTTCCAATTTCAACAACACGTTGCTTTAAATTCTAGAATTTATGAGATGTCACAAAAATTAGTGGGAAAAATGTTTGTTTGTTTTCTTAAGCATTAAAAAAGCCTGCTAGAAAATTATTTCTTCCAGTATATAATGTGTTACTTTTACATAAAATGTCAACATTTAATTTGCTTTCTTTTGCCTCAAAACTTCCAGTTATTGGAGATGGATTTTTTCATAAGACAAGTTTGTAAGTGTATTAGTAAAAAAGAAATGTGGAATTTTTGCCTATTGGCACACATTTGAGAGCTGGAAAGAGTCAGAAAGAAATTTGAGGCTTTAAGTGCACTCTAGCCTGTGATTTAGGTACCAGTACCCATGAAGAAACATGGATAGTGAGTATAGCCTAGCCTGTCATTCAGATAAATTCTGGCCACTAGGATAACTAGGGGGCCCATTTCCTGCTCCATTGTCCTCCTTACTGCCATATCTAAAGGAGGAAAGAGCCCTACAAAGCAGCATATACCATCACTCCAATTGGAAAGAGCCCCTATGGTGCACAGGCTGGGCTGCAAGGAGCTCATCACACTCTACCTAGGATCCCTCATTGCTGTGTCCTTTAGTACATGCAGGAGTTGCTGGTAGGTCTCAAATATCTGAAGGGCTGCCATAGAGGGAAAACATCTTTTCTCTCTTTCTACAGAGAGTAGAATGCAGAACAGTGGCTTGAAGTTGCAGCAAAATAAGTTTAAAATGGATATCAGGAGGTTTTTTTGCCTTCCTCAAGCATTGTGTTTTGGCTGCAGCCAAAGGCTGGGGAATTTGGCTGGGGTGTGCCAGTGCTCCTCCTAAGACAAACCCGGAAGTTCCTGGCTAGAGGGTCACATAGAATCAGACCAGTTGCCATATTTGGGTTCAGGAAGTAATTTTACCCTGTGGTCAACTATGTATGGACTAGAGGTTTTTTCCTTTCCTCTGTAGCAAGGAGCATGCACACCTGCTTCCTTGAATCTCAAGCATATTTTAACAACCCTTGCAGCAGTAGAACACTGGCCACCATTGTCCCCCTTATTTATATGTGGCATGTGTGGATGTTATGCTTTCTGATTGTCAGGGTTGACTGTAGTTTTAATAGGTCAGATAAGGGCTTGTGTAAGATGGTGTGGGTAAGGATGATCCTGCCTTTAGCAGGGGTTAGACTAGATGACGTCTGAAGGTCCCGTCGAGCCCTTTTTTTCTATGATTATATGTTCTTTAGGCGTTTTGTCTGCTATAGAAGCTTCTTTCTCTGATTGGTCCAAAATAACCTATCTGCCAAGGTTTCAGACATGGAGACTTTGCTGTCTGAGTTGAAGCTTGGAGGGAGGGTGGATGGAGGCTCGGGTTCTCCTCATTGGGGAGATTTAGTATTTGACAGGTACTCGAGGGTGTCAGGAGATTTTAGTGCTTGCCCTGCAGAGGGGTATGCACTTAGTTACATGGTAAAAGCACTTTGGTCTTGCAATGGAGACCATTTATGCGACATTGATTCACATTCTGGGTTTAGGTCTAAGTGAATGATTCTCTTTTCCCAATAGAATGAACTGATACTGGAAAATTGCTTTCTGCATTGAATATTTGATGAGATCTAGACTTCCATCTCCTGCCAGATGCTTGGACTCTTGGCTCCTTTATTGAATGACCAAGGACCTAAGAACTGCTATTTACTTGGTCAGAACATAGGTCCATCTTGCCCAGTATCCTGTGTCGCACAGTGGATGCTGAAGGGGAGAGTGAACATGTATGATCAGGGTTTTTTCCACTGTTCCTCTCCTACTTGCAGCCTCTAGCATTTAATGTCTAGAAAGTTCTGATACAGAAGCTGTACCCCAAACTCCCATCCTCAATAGCTACTGATGCCCCTTTCCTTCAAAAATTTGTCCAATCCCTTTTTGAATCTGGCTACACTGTCTGCTTCAACAACATCTTGTGGCAATGAGTTCCACACTTCAATTACACTGTGAAAAAAAACTGCCTTTTAGTTTTAAACTTACTGTCTACTAGTTTCATTTTGTGAGTCCTAGTTATTGTCTTGTGAGAGTTAGTAAATAATAAATTCCTATTTACTCTCACTTCATCATTTAGTATTTTATAAACCCTTATTATGTCTGCCCTTAAGCTTCTCTTTTCTAAACTGAATAGGCCCAGCCTCTTTAGTCTCTCCTCAGATGAAAGCCTTCCTATACCACTAATTTGCATTGCCCTTCTCTGTATCTTCTATTTCTTATGTACCCTTTTCAAAGTGAGTTTCAAGGTATAAACAGACCATGGATTTATAAAGGGGCATAATACTTTCCATTTTGTTTACTATTCCTTTCTTAATGCCTAACATTGTTTGCCACCTTGATGGCTGCTGAGCACTGAGCTGATGTTTTTAGCAAACTGTCCACGCTGACTCCCAGAACTCTTTCCTGTGTGATAACAGCAGATGTAGAGCCCGTTATAGTTGTATAGTTCGGATTATTTTTGCCCATGTGCATCACTTTATATTTATTTACATTGAATTTCATCTGCCGTTTAGTTGCCCATTTGCTCAGTAGTGCCATATCCTTTTGTAGTTCATCACAGTCCCCCTCGGTTATTACCACTTTGAATAATTTTGTGTCATCTGCAGAGTTGGCCGCCTTGCTCCCCCCTTCCCTCTTCCAGATCACTCATGAATATATTAAATAGCACTGATCCCAGTACATATCCTGGAGCGGGGGGGCTGCTTTTTTACTACTTAATGAGATACAATTGCACAGACTTCCTTTCTATAAAGAACTGCACATTTCTGAGGTTGATTTACAGACAGAACTACGAAACCTCTCACCCTCTTTTTTCCACCCAGGTTGAGGTTGATTTACAGACAGTTGCCAGTGGGTTTAACACAGTAGAATCATCTAAACTTGAATAACTTGTAATAGCATTTTTTTTTAGTAGGAGGAAAATGTGCTATTGTTGAAGATCATTACTTCATATGAATGTTTCAGCTACTGTATAAATGAGGTAAGTGTAATTCCTAAGCCTTCTACTAATTTTGCAATGTATGGCCTATAGGAAAGGATACCCAGCATAACAGTTCCCACAGTGACACACTACAGATGAATGGCATTCAGCCTGAAGAAATCAGCAAATTGAGAGAGGAGGTAAAAGAATGGAAAAATAAGCATGACCTGTTGCAAGGGCAGCTGAGAGAAAAGGATTCCGTGATTGAGAAATTGGTAAGCAATTAGTGACTACTTCAAAAGAACTTTCCATATGCAGTTGCAGTTTCCATACCTGTTACTTGCCCAGTGCAGGTATTTCCAGCAGAAATGGGGAATGTTTTAGGCCATTATGCCAGGCATTGGTGAGACCTAAACTGGAATATCGTGAACAATTCTGGTCACCTTTTGCTTAAAGATGAGCTCAAACTCTGAAGCAAGTGCAGAGAAAGAGCAGTGTGACATTCAAGGAAATAGAAGGTCTCTCTTGAGACTTCTAGAAAAGACTAGAAATGTTTGATTGATTTATCTAGCAGAGTAAGGGGTGGGAGGGGGGGATAAGATCATCTATAGATGCATCACAGGTAAATCCAGTGGAGGGAGATGAATGAAAGGATCATATTTTCATAAGAACACATAGCTATGAATGTATTTTACTGCCCCAAGAACACACATGTAATGTTACACCAAAATCATGGTTGGGAGTCTGAGCAAAAAAACAAAAAAAAAGTTTCAGGCTGGTTACAGGAAAAGTGGCATAGGGACAAAAGCACTTAGGGGGCTTACGCAAGGTTTTTTTTTTGTGCGTGTGATCAGACCCCTGAAAGTGCTCTACAGCTGTGATGTAACACACATACATGGCTGCAAAGCACTTTTAAAATCACCAATCATGCAAAAAATTAACGGGGGGGGAGGGGAGGGTTTGTTTGTTTGTTTGTTTGTTGTTAGCTTTAGTAAAATTTCGGTCACTTTTCTTTGCATTAGGTAAAATAAGTTTTTCTGAAGAGTAAAAATCCTTGGGCTGTCTACTGAGACATAGATTTACAGATATGCTGAGTGTATTTCAAACCTCCTGGTATTCTCCATCTCAGATGCTGGTGCCTAATATTCTGGTAGCATGGTGGAAGGGTTTTGCTTGTCCATTTCACATCATTGGGAATGTGCAGAGGCCACTCAAAGACTAAAGCAAAGTTATTTGTCATAACAAGGGTTGTTAGAGAGCTGTCATACTTCCTGCCCACCTGTCTTTCAAGTCTGAGCAATCTAGATTTAAGTTGGGAGAGAAGGTAATGGGAGGTACTGAGGTGGCTGATGCATGTCATCCCCTTTATCTCCATGCAGATTGGATTGTTTGGCTTGTTGATTTGGGGGGTGAAGTGAAAGATAGGTTTCTTTACTGTTATAGATAGATTCACACAGTACTGTTACTGCATTCAGCCTGAGTGTAAAAGTGCAGAGGCTTTATCAAAGAACAGTTCTGATAACAGGTGAGTAATTATTTGATCAATGTAATGTGGTAAAACTTTTTATGGTTTGTTGGTTTCTCCCCTTATAGAAGTCTTCACAGTTAGACCCAGGAACAGAACAGTCTTCTCAGGCAAATAAATATGGTGGTTTGGAGCATGATAATAATTTGCAGAAGGTGAGAATTCTTGCTACTTTATGAATGGCAATCTTCCTTTCTTTTGTGTAGCTTCAGAATAGTTGATGTGCAGTCACCAAATGGGCAATTATTAGTCCCAAATAGTAATATTTTAGGATGGGGAGACAGTTTTCAGTCAAACTTCAGTTACTTTCAGAGAGAGCAAAATGGGTTGCAAAGCACGTCAGTTTGTTTCAGGGACCTTACCTTACATACTGATTTAAATTATTTTGAACACAAGAAATCACCAGTATTGCTTGTGTTGCAGTGAATTGAGTTGGTGGAGAAACTGAAAATTCTGATAATATATTGCTTATTAACAGTTGCATAGCACATCTCTTAAACTGATATAAATTTGACATTTGAGTCTTTTTTTCACATGAGAAAAGACCAATTCATGTATCTTGTCTGTTAAGTGACTGAGTAAAACTGTCTTTTTGCCTCTGAAAGAATCTCACTCTTAGTTTTCTCCCAATAATAAAGCAAGGGAATTGTTGAAGAATTTGAGTTGATAAATGTTTTGCTCTAGATAATTTGCACTTGAAGATTTTTCAGAAAAAAAAGAACATGCATATGAGATCCTGTTCTGCTTGCTTTGCTAATTGAAGCAAGCCTCAAAGAAGCGGCTGCAAAGTTCTGCATTTTATAGAAAGTTTTGTCTTTTTTTTCTGCGCCCCCCCCCCCCCCCCCCCCCCCCCCTTGAGGTTGTTAGCTGTGCTAAGTATTACATTCTTGAGAGCTCTTGTTAGCATGTCTAGACAGCTGGTTGCTCTGTTTTTAGTAGACATGCTGCTCTCTTTCCACAGCTATTCTGAATAAGTCTGATGCACATTTTGTAGCTCTTACTAGCAAAAAAGGTAGCTTTTGTCATTGTTTACTAGTAAGAGTTTTTAGAGAGGAACAGTAACTCTTCATCTTTACCGTAGGAACTAGAAACATTGAGGACGCAAGTACAGTCACAGTCCACAGAAATATCTAAACTTCACACTGAGAAGTGGGAGCTGCTACAACAAATGGTAACCCTATTATCCTTGCTTTACTGAGTAATATAGAAAACTGTCTGTCACTATATGTCTCTACAGATGGATAGATGTATCTATATAGGGAGGGGTGTGTGTGATGATAAAGAATATATTTAGAACAAGCCCTCATTTGATGCAACTCTGACATCTGTGGAGTTATTCCTGATTTATGCTGGGGTCTCACTTTTCTCTTCTCTCCCCCCAACATGATATTGACTGAAGAGATGTTATTCAGTAGATGTCTGATGAGAAAAATAATTTGTTCTTACAGAGCAGATGTTTGTGTAGAATACTGCCTTTTTATCCTTTGATGAGCTTAGAGAAAACTAATTTTCCTTTACATCATAAACTCTTATCAACAAGGCCTGTTGACTGCACAGACAGATTATGCTAAAGGGTACCAGTCCATGAGCCTGGATGAGTTTCACACCCCTGGTCCAGTGTGTTGACTGCCTGCTTTTCCTTGTGCTCGGGTTAGCATGCAGGGTCAATAATGAGGTACACATTTGATGTACTTGCCTCATGGAGAGTTCTCATGGAACCCAAACGAGTCTGTCTTAGAAATCTTTGTGGTGAGTTCAAATGTCTTTAAATAAACATAATGCTGTTTGGAGTGCTGTCGCATAGCAAGGGAATTTATTTACACCAATTATTTAAGTCTTTTGGCTTGATAGAGTATTTTGGGAAAACTTTAATGGTGTGTGATATACAAGAAGTTGGACTAGATGAACTAAGTTTACCTTCTGGCTTTAATTGGTATAAAAATATTGTTTTTCATTTGTGCTTTCTGTGCCAGCATGCCTTCAAATACACTTTGAATGGGGGGTGGGCAATTATTTGGGCTGGAGGGCCACTTGGGGAGTTTTGGTGAGTTGTTGCAGACTGGGTCAGCATATTGTGCCCTGCCCAGCTTCTCACAACATCTCACCCAAACTCTGCTCCATGCACAGCTTGGCAGCTGGGACAGGGACATATCCAGACAGGGAGCAGGATGGGTGGGCAGGGCTGGGGCTAGGATTGTGAGGCAGTGACAGTGCAGGGCTGGGGCCTGGGGCAGAGCTCCAATCTACTCCCTGTATAGCCATGTAAGGGGCACTGATTCCACAAGCAAGGGCTTGTGGGGACTGGATTGCAGCTCTGCCCCAGGTCCCAGTCCAATACTCGCAGCCCAGCAATCATGGGGTCTCCATGGAGACTGACCAGGACCCCTATGGCCAGGGTGCATGGCCAGTTGGACAGAATGGGCCGTAGGCAGGCAGGGAGCTGCCTCCACAAGCAGGACAGAACGAGGCCGGGATTCTGGGGTGGTGACAGCCCAGGGCTGAGGCCCAGGGCAGAGCCGTGATCACATCCCCACACACTCCTGCCTGTCGAACCAGCACCCATCACAAAGATGTGCAGGTAGCAGATCTCAGCTCTGCCCCAGGCCCTGGCCCTGTGCTGATACTGCCCCATGATCCTGGCCCTACCCATCTGTCCCGTTCCTGGACACTGCTCCTTGCCTGATTGCAGCCCCATTCCATCTACCTGACCATGCACTCTGCCTGTGTGGGTCCCACCCCTGGCAGTGAATGCAGGGCAAATAGGCCAGGATGCCCAGGTAGTGGGGTCATGCCTGGTGGCAGCAGCAGCCGCAAGGAGCTGCTGCTGGGGCTACTAGGAATTGAGTCCAGATGCCGTGCTGGCCCAGTCCCACTGTGCTCCTGCGGATGGCGAGACGACCCACATGCACCATGGCTTAGGCTGCCCTCCTGCTCCTGTCTTGGGTGGGACTGAGGGACCCGCTATAGGCAAGACAAAATCCGTTGGTGGTCTGGTTCTAGCCTGTGGGCTGTATTTTGCCCACCCCTGCTTTTAAATGTATAATGGGCTGAAAGAAATCTTTAACCTGTGTCCTGTGAGAGTGTGGAAGATTACCTGCTTCTGGAATTGAATTTTCTTTCCACAGAACATGACTACAGTTCCCATATTGGGAGATAGTGCTATGCCAGCAGCAAAGAACACAGATTTGGAGGAAAGACTATCACGGGAGATAAAGGAATTGAAGGTCAGTCACTACTGAAATAGTAAGGATGCAGACACATGTAGCAGTTTGAACCACTCCTGAATGTCACTGTTAGGAAACTGGTTCACAATTGTGTGTGAAGTGCTGTGGCTCTGATACCTGGAGGTGAGAGTCAGCAGCCAGCTCTGCATGCCTCAGTAGGCAAGTAGGAGGGAGTGCTTTTGGTGGCTGGGGGTGGGTGGCGGGTAGCTGGGGTCATTTCCACTTTTTTGTTTGTCCTTCTCTCCCCAGTTCAGTAAATTTCAGTAGCCTGCAGTTGGTCTTGGGGGAGCAGAGTTGGGGTGGGGACACAGAAATGCTTGGCCTGGTGCTTTTGGGTTCCTGTGGGCTGAGGGGGTGAGATCATATTGAACTGGTTCAAAAGGGTACTTGATTTTTTTTTATTTTACTTTATTTTATTTTATATTTTATTTATTTATTTATCCATTTATTTATCTATTTATGCAAATGTACTTTTGCACTGTTTGACTAAAAAGATGTCAGGTCTGGTCTGGTTTGGTCTGTCTTTGGTCTGGTTGTCCTGGGCTTTGACTTACATCAGAATAGATCTGGGACAGTCCTTTACACATAGCTTGAATGGAAAATCAGTAGCCCATATTGTCCTGGAGGAAAAGGGTTATCCTAGTACTTCACAGGTACTTAGTGAGAAAATGGCCCTATATAACTGTAAGGATCCCAGAATAAAAAGACCTTGTCTAGGAAGTGGGGGTGGGGTATCTGACATGTTTTTAGCTTTCCAGACAGTTTTAAACTGGTTTCACAGGCTTGTGTGTCTGTCTGCTTCAGGTTTCAATGTCATTTAAATTGGTCTAAGTGTTGTTTGTGTCCATACCTTAAATAACTGAGTATTCAGTTTGATCATTTATGTGAAGTACCGCAGTCTTAAAGATGTTCTGCCAAACTGAAGAATGATTTTGGGGATACTTGATTTCCCTGGAATGCTTTGAGAAAGCTTTACTTTTTAACTTTAGAAATGTTAGGTCACGTTAGGTTGGAAAGATTTTGGATTTCCAGTTGCCATTTAACTCTAATTTTTCTTAATGTGTTTAACTTTGGTGGCATTTCAGATAAGAAAGCCTTCATGAAGGGCACAGCTTTTATAACTCTAATGTTAGAGTATTAACAAAACACTACTTCAATTTATCCTGAGACGTCCAGAAAAATCAGAACAGATCAGAATTTGCATTCCTTGTTTTCCTGTAGCGGTGAAGAGTTGTTGTCTGTGGGGAAGGGATGAATCTTCCAAGCCTTCCTTAAATACCATAAAACAAGAGAGGCCCATACCTAGCTTGGAAGCATTCTTCAGACTAGCTTTTTATGTGTTTTGAATAGCATGGATTGTTGCTGCAGTGGCAATCCCTGTGAGGATTTTCTGCTTGGATTCGGGCCAGGATGTCCCTGTGTTAGTCCTGGGCAAGCTGCATCTTTGAACCCTCTCTGGTCTGCAGAGAGCACCCATCTCAGATGTTGAGCCTTTTTTCTTCACCTGTCATGGAGTAAAATCCCCTTGTTTTCCTGCTCTAGCTGGGCTCTACCTGCATATGGTTTTTCCCTTGGGGAGCTGTGACTGGAGGGGAATAGTGACCCTTGACAGCAAACTTGAAGCTAGACTTTGAGCAGAGTATAGTGGCAGCTATATAGAGTTCCTAGGCACAAACCGTGTTTTCTATTAATCAAACTAGTCTGCATTTAGAATGATCTGTGGTTTGCATGTTAGTGACTTAGCTGTTTTTGTGACTACTGCCAGAATGAAGTTAAAGCTCTCTCTGAGGAAAAAGCAACCCTGAAACAGCAGCTGGACTCATCCAACAGTACAGTCGCCATTTTACATGATGAGAAAAGCAAGCTACAGCAAGAAGTGGCAGAATCAAAGAAAGAACAGGATGATCTCTTGGTGCTTCTGGCTGATCAGGATCAGAAAATAGTTAAACTAAAGAGTACACTCAAGGAACTTGGTGAACCGGTAAGTTAAGTGTTCAGTAAAATAAGTCTTTGTATGGGCTGTTATTCAGCATGTAATAACTCCAATTACCCTAGCAGCAAAGGGGCAATTGCCTTAACTCTTGATGAACTGCTGACTGCAGAGAAGCAACCAGAAGAGTCAGCAGAACTTGTCAGCCTCTGTCACCTGAGGAAGGGCAGCTGCCATTTGTAAAACAGGTGCACAGCTTTACAGTGTTTCTTGAGATTAGACGTCTGCGTTGTGCTGTGGTATCCATCTGGTCATGCAGCGAGCCGCATCTTCCCTTTTCTTTGTGTTTGTTTTTTTAAACAGAAAACTAGGGTGGGCATGTGTACATGCTATGGGCACTGCATTGTGTCCTAGGTCAAACTTGGCTTTCAGTGAAATGGAGGCAGTCATCCAGCCAGTGCAGTTCTTGGGAGGTGCATCTCTTAGGTTTCATATCTTCTGACAAGCTTCATAATGACCTGTAACAGGGACCATGACTTGAAGGTGCATAAAAATACCTATTGAGCGTGCAACTGTACCACTCCTTCAATAAGAAAGTTTAACAGGCGATTTTTAAATTCCTTTTTACATCTTAATGCAAGTTCAGGCTTTTTTATGGCATATGCTACCTCATTGGGTCACATGATCCATGTTTGTAAAGTTCTAAACAGTTAAAAAAAAACAAACCAAAACAACAAACATACCCAAAAAACCTGTTTCTGCCAAAAATGGATATACCAGCACCTTAGGAAGCTTATGGGCCTCCCAGCCACTAAGTAGTATGGCCCAAAGTGATTTGAGACGGTTCCTAATCTGCTTTCATACATCAGTGGACTCAGTGGCCTTGACTGACAGTGTTGTGTCAGATCTCAGGAGTACAATTCTAATGTGTGTCCAGGTCCTCCATTCCCACAGTTCAACAGTGGGCTGCTTGATGCTAGTCCAAAGAGCAAGGAGAAAAACACCAGTCAAAAACACTGTCTCTCACTTCCTGCAGATGCATCTTTGATATGAGCCAGTGGAGAATCCCCTGCCTCCTCTCCATTTAGAATACAGAGGGCTTTGCTCACAAGCAGCTGTCAGACAATGCAAGGAGCTGCTTCTGCTGAAAGTACTAGGAGAGTAACTGCAGATATGGAGGTGATGACCAAGAATGCACAGTTTTATACCAGCACCTTTGGAAAGAGTTCCTAGCACTCTTTCTACTAGCAACTCTGAAGGCAAGGTGGCTACACAGCTTTTGGTACTGGACTCCAGACACACAGGCTCAGCATACCTTGAATGATAAGGGGCCCTGTTGGAGCAGTGCTTGCAAGCGGTTGCCTTCTCGGTTAACCTGTGTCAGCTGCAGGGTGTTACATGGTTCAACACCACCGAGATAATCCAGAAAGTAGGATGACAATGGTAGGATCTTCCTGTTAGCTTTGTATGTGCAGACACTTATCAGAGATGACAAGGACTCTCCCATAATGCACATGGATGAGAGCAGGGCAATAGAATTAAACTTCATGTTGGCAAAAAGCAAGAATTCACTTCCAAATTTAAGTGGCCATGCCCTTTGCATTCTACTCTGTTCTAAAGCCTACCCCTAATTCACTCCTCTTCTGGTTCCCTTCACAAACCACTCCTTTTCTCTTCCCAGAAGGGCGTATGTCACTAGTTGCAAAACCTAATTACTGGTCCGAGCACAATGAAAAACATCTGGTCTGTGTAATACTTGCAGTAAACATGTGCCTCTCTCTAAAACAAAACAAAAAATAGTTTTACACATTTTCATTGAACAAGGGGAATGATTGATGAATGAAGACCTGTGCCCAAAAGTTGGCAAGGCCTGTGCCAGGCCAAAGTTCTGACAGCAGGGAGTATGCCAGACAGGGTGTAGAAGCCTATATTGGGGTTTTCATCACTCAAAAGGTGGCCAGGTGGCAGGCCATCAAGGCCCAGTGGAGGAATGTGTGTAGGGAGTTGTCTGATCTTGAGCTTTACCGTGGGAACATCTGAATACATCATTGCAACATGTGATGGTGAGCACCAGAATAAGCTACTTATTGCTACTTGTGCTTTACTTCAGTGAATAGCTGATGACATTGCGTCAGTGACAGCAACATGTTTGCATTTGACTGAGGGATTGTCTGGGCCAGTTGGAACAATGTGGGTTGAGTGGCAGTACTATGGGATAGATCATCTTTGGCTAGCAGGGATGAGGCTACTGCCACTCCTGTTGTGCTGGCTGTACTGGGGAATGTGCCTTGATGCCAGGGCAAGGAGCTGTGCCACAGAAGTCCAGGTAGGAGATACTATTCCATTGTCCATATTGGGGATCAGAGTGTGCAACAAAACCTCTGGAGACAGTTGGGGAATTCCTGACCAGGGTTATCTGCTATACTGATATGAGCACTGTACCCAGGACATCATCTGCCATGGGAAGACAGTATCAGCTCTTGTGGATAGAGGAGTCCTCATGTGATGTACTGAGAGATGAGATATCAGGGCTTCATGGTCATTGACACTCCACACCACCTTGATTTCGTAGGCCACAGGTTGGCAACCTACAGTCTGGAAGCATTTAATCCAGCTTGTAAATCATAAAATCATAGACAATTAGGGTTGGAAGGGACCTCAGGAGGTCATCTAGTCCAGCTCCCTGCTCAAACCTGAATCATCCCCAACTAGGTCATCCCAGCTGGGGCTTTGTCTAACCGGGTCTTAAAAACCTCCAAGGATGATGATTCCACAACCTCCCTGAGTAGTATGTTCCAGGACTTTATTATGACCCTCCTGGTAAAAGAGTTTTTCCTAATATCTAAGGTGAACTTCCCTTGTTGCAACTTGAGACCATTGCTTCTTGTTTGTCATCTGCCACCACTGAGAACGGTTTAGATCCATCCTCTTTAGAACCATTCTTCAGGTAGTTGAAGGCTGCTATTAAATCCCCCCATAGCCCTCTTGTATCTAGACTAAATAATCCCAGTTCCCTCAGCCTCTTCTCATCAGTCTTGTGTCCCAGCCCCTTAACCATTTTCGTTGTTGTCTGCTGGACACTCTCCAATTTGCCCACATCCTTTCTGTAGTGGGGGGGTCCCAAAACCGGACACAGTACTCCAGATGTGACCATACCAGTACTGAATAGAGGGGAAGAATCACTTTCCCTGATCTGCCGGCAGTGTTCCTACTAATGCGGCCCAGTATGCTGTTAGCCTTCTTCACAACAAGAACCCCAACAAGGATGCAGGGCTTCAGCTGCTGGTGCACTTCCCAGGCTGCCAAAGGGACAAACATCCACCTGTTTGCCCATGTCTGACCCAGGTGGTTCATTCTAGCCCACAGCTGGAAAAAGTTATGTATCCCTACCCTACACTGTTGCACTCCAGGAGGTCAAGTTAAGTGCTTATAACATTGATAGCTGCTTCGGCCACCTAGGGCTGGCCCTTTTGGTTCCAGTGGGGCCACATACAACACAAATTCACTATGCATGGGAAAGGGTCTGTGTGTGTATACAGCAAAAACTTGGGATCAAACCTGGAAAAGATGAGAAACCTGTCTACGATCAGGACCTCTTCTGTAGGCTTAAATGCAGAACTAGGGTACAGCTACAGTTCCCTTAATGCTCATCTATCTAAACAAAATTATACAGTACAGTTATAATGCCCTTATTTATCACCACCTGGTCAGAAAAGAGGCAAGAGACAGATATGCAGCCTGATTCTTATCGTCACACTCCAGAAGCACAAGAATAAATACTTATTCTATTGCCTGTCTAGCTACCTACAATAGCATAATGCAGACTATGTATACCTGCTGGGGAGACTCAAGAAGAAAGTGATATGCAGTTTGGCATTAGGTTTTCCTGAATTTATGGATTTTTTTCCACTTTCTCTCTAGTCGACACTTTCTATTATTTATGGATGGCTTGTTGTAATATATTAATAAAGATTCTCTGATTGGTTTTATTCAAATGTATTTGTCACTGAAAGTTCTTAAACTGAATTGAACCAGTTCTTATGATGGTGAGGTGTCAATTACTTGGTCTTTATGTCCCTGTAAAACTTACAGTTCTGGAAGAGAGGATTTCTTGTCTCCTTCCCTCACTATCATGGAATGGTCCTTGCTACCGTCCTGTTATTCTTTTCATCTTGGTTTATGGTCTTCACTGACCAGGCTGGTTTGTTTGTATGACTTTCTTAAGAAACTCAGCACAAATATAACTATTACAGCAAAATTTATATACAATGTATTTGGTTACATCAATCACTACATTAACGTTTTCAAACTAAAGTTATAATACAGTATATTTGGATTATCTGTTTTTAAAGCCTCTTTTTTCAGGCTTTTTGCTCTCTACAGTTTAATCTGGTTTAGCGCAATTTGTTAATTTCTGTGTCTTTTTTCAGTCTGCAAAGGTACTCTATACTCAAACAGGTTTTTAGTGTCTTCTGCTTGAGCCACACATCTGTAGCTTGGTGTAGACCCTTTGAAGTTATCCAAGACTGGCACCAAGTGATTATATATTTCCGCTTTCCCATATTCATTTAGCAAGAATACGCTATCATTTAATTGGATTCTCCACCTTTTCAGTTTTTCCCAATTGACTTATTTATATATATATTTTTACTGATTAAATTACTGGATTTTTTTTAAATTGAAGTGAATCAGTTTTTACTGATTTTACACCTGGGTTTTAGTTCCCAGGTTTCCAACTGGATGTGGGGCAGGGTAGCAGTAGCTGCGCGGGGGCTGGGGGAGGGTGGCTGGACCCACTGCCTGGGGGTGCAGGGCTCCTGGCTCTGACCCTAGGAGGGGCTGCGGGAATTGCTCCCAGGGTGAGCAGGTCCCAGCTGCACCCCAGTGGCTCTGGCTGCAGCCCTGCCCCAGGCGCTGGGAGCTGCAAGCCGTGCTGCGGGGGGCGGGAGCAGCAGGTGGGAGAGCCTGGCCCTGCTCTCTGCAATGGGCACTGCACCTGTTGGCTGTTCCCAGGGCCGCTGCAGCAGGGGCTGGGGTGAGTGGGAACAAGTGGAACCTCGGGGGGATGGGGCACAGCGCAGCTTGTCCTCGCTCACCCCAGCCCCTGCTGCAGCAGCCCCAGGAGCAACTGATACCACCTGCCTGCACCACGGCATGGCACAGCCCAGGGGCTGGGGTGAGTAGGGACAAACCGAGCCTCAGGGGGTGGGCTTGAGGGCACGGCGCAGCCCAGCAGCTGCAGGCAGCTGGCGTTGGTTGCTCCTGGGGCTGCTGCAGCAGGGGCTGGGGTGAGCGAGGACAAGCTGCGCTGTGCCCCATCCCCCCGAGGTTCCACTTGTTCCCACTCACCCCAGCCCCTGTTGCAGCAGCCCCAGAAATGGCCGACGCTAGCTGCAGAAGGAGCTGTAAGTAGGTTCGGGGCATGAATCTGGGGACACGTGCCTCCCAGGAAAACCCCAGCGCAGCCCCTCAGCCCACAGCCCTCCCAGGGGGTACGTAGCAGCAAGAGCTGTGGACCCCTGCCCTGCACCCACTGACCATTCCCTTCGCTTTGCTCCCTGCTGCAGCCCTAGGAGCGGCCAATGGGCTGCACTGCGCCCTTCCCCACCACTTATCTAGTCCCAGCCTTACTCCCTCCCTTTCTCACCGCTGATTATTATTTTTTTTCCTTTTATTTTTACTTTTTCCCAATTTAAACCGATTTCCCCCCCCCCCCCCCCCCCCCCCCCAATTCCTTTTATCCCAATTTCATCCCAGTTTTTAGGTTTCGAAGATAAACCCTCAACATTCCCAGGTTTTTTTAAATAACTGAAAATGTGGAACACTATATAATTCTTTTAATTTTCTTTATTCAAAGACACAAAATCTAGGTGCTATAGTGGTTGCCTTTAACAGTTATTAGTGTTTTCCATAAAGGAATCATCTGAACCTGCTTTGGCCAGTTACTGCTGGCCTTGACTAGCAGATTGAATTCTGCTTTCCCATGCTACTGCATATTGATTTTTATGTTAAGCAGTTCTGTCTGTACAAGCTGAAGCATGTATTATTCCTAACTTAGCCTTATACTAGGTCCCCAGTCTGCACCTGTCACAGTGTTTCAAGGGCGCTGTGGCCAGCTGTGTGACAAATAAGCGCTGTAATGTGCTGCGTGACAAATAAGCGCATCACTCGAGCTTCAGTAATACTGGCCAGTGGCCATGTTTTACCACCCTCATCCTGGATCTCCTCAAGAGGCTGGAAAACACCTACTTGACATGATCGAAGACTGTAAGCTCATGTATTGCAGCTTATCCTATGTATTCTACTGCTGCTGGTACCATGTGGAGGGGAGTTGCTGTCATTGCTATTGTTTACTTTTGCTGTTTCCTGCAATGAAAACTTAGTACCACCTGGAAAATCACCTTTTTATGATCTGACCTGTTAACTTCCAGTGCGTAAGTTGTTGCAGCTTCATGTTGCCATGGCAATATGAAAATATTCTATTTTAAGTGTACCTGGGCTCTTCTGTCTCTACCATCATCCTGTTTGCATGTGGTGGCCAGAAATGCCTGGGTGTCTGAACACCTGCCTGTCAGGGCATACAGATTTTATCTTGTTTTGCCCCGTCTGCCTTAGGCTTTCCACAGAGGAAAGAGGGGATACTGTCTGGCAAAGAGGCAGACCAGTTGTGCAGCTATATTGTGCAGAAGGCAGCAAACTAGAAAACTAAAGTAGACTTTGCTGGGTCTCTGTGGTAGTGTGCCACCAAATGGATGGAGATGGTCATCATGTTTTCTGAATGCTTATGACTCTCTCCCAGTTGACCACAAAGTCATGCACCAGGTTATGCTTATAACACAACCGATCATCATCAAGGTGATGAGCTGATAGCAAAAGTTGGGAGGGGTCAGCAAGGAAAAAAAACAAATGGGAGGCAGTGGGGCGATTGCATTGAGAGTGTAATGTGTTGCAGGAACACCTGTGATATATTGTAGCATGAACAATGTGGTTGAAGTAACAATATTTGAATAAATATGGTACTTTGCTATTCAAGGCAGGTTTCTCCCTGTGGCCCTCCCCTCACCCCCCCCCCCCCCCCCCCCCAATCAGCATGTGGGGAGAGAGAAGCTCTTCATTTTATAATTGCATACAAGGAAACCATATTAAATACATTTCTGTTGTTAAACTGCTGTCCAAAAGCAGCATGTGCTCAGTAATGGAAACCAACAATGAAGTTGATTAAAATGTAGCCGTCACTGAGCATAACTATAAAACACATGGCCCATAATGGGCAATAGGAACTTTTGAAGGGCCACACACAACCCCTGCCACACACAACCCCTCCCAAACAAAAAAACCCAAACAAAAAACCAAAAACAACCCAGCACTTGCTCCCCATAGGAGAGAGTGAGCACTGGGCCTTAAGTTACTACAATACTAGGCCGGCACTTGAAGAGGCCAGAGCAAGCTCTGACACCCTTCCCTGAGCCCAAAATAGTAGTAGTAACCTTTTCCTTAAAATTTCGCGTCCCAAGTCAAATCAGCCAAATCAATTCTAAATCCATGTGAGTCATTTGAGAACCATATGTGGCCTTACTACCAGCAAGCATCCTCCATCCCTGCCTGGAGCTTCAGATGCTTGCAGATCCTCTGGTGGGCATCCTATGTGCAGGCCCAAGCCCAGAGGCTTGGGGTTCAGCTGCCCCCAAGTTTTGCTTGCCCTCAGCTGTATGGTCACAGGACCAAGCTAGGGAGTAGTCTCCCATTTCCATAAAGTCGGTGTATGGCTGAGATCTTCCCACTGGAAGTGAAAGTGGGAGGCTAACTATGCATTACTTCGGTCATGATACTACCTCTTGCTACATCCATGGTTTTCCCAGCCAGTTGGAAAACCACCTTTGTGGTCACAGTAGTTACCGTGCCAGGTGGTAGTGACCTAGCACAAGGATAAGATATCGGAGCCCATCTAAATAATATATATGGTAGTACCCATTGCTGCAGCCCTCCACAGCACAGACTTTATCTCATGTTGAGCTACTACATTGAATATATTTAGACCTCTTCCCTCCCACAGCTAAGTTGCACCTTTCCCAGTTCCAATGATTCCTGTTTCTTCACCAGCCTGAAATGTCTGTCAGACATCACCAATGGGCCCCCAAACAGTTCACCCAGAATCCCACTGTCACACCCTCTCTGAGCCTGTCATATGATTAGTGTGATCCAGCCCTCTATGAGATGGAACCAAGTTGCCCTGCAATACTTCTGCATATAATTTTTCAGAGGCTCCTCAGACCCATGACAAGAACACCCAGTTCCAAGTCATGAGTTGGGGGGTGGGGGTTGCTAATTAGCACATGAAGTGTGTGTGTGTGGTGGGGGGGGGGGGGGTATCTGGAATACATACACATGCTGAGCTTTCCTGGGGCCCAGCCCAATGAGCTTTGTAGTAAATCATGAGCCTTTTGGCTTTGATTGTGTGTAGTCGCTTCTCGGCCTCTTGTGGGCTTAGATCAAGCGTACTTTTTATAAGTACAAAAGTGCTGCTTAAAAGTAAGTTTGTGGAGTAGCTGTGCTAAAATTTGTATCGGTATCAAAAAAAGGGGGGGAAAAGATAAAAATGCCAATTCAACCATCATTGTTTGCAAATTTGCCTTGCGCTTCCATGTGCTCAGGAGGGAGAACAGGGTCTGAGAGTATGTTGGAGTGAGGGTGGGGAGGATGAAGGGGCTGCAGGGGAAGAAGTTGGTGGGACAGTGGTAAGGGAGGCCATCTGATCCGCCAGACTTATTTTACCCTGCTGTAACAGTAGGAGAGGAACAAAATCAAGGCAAATCTCCAATAATTAGATTTTTATACCTGAAAAATTATAACAAAAGTACAAATTTTCCATATGTAGAATCTAATTTTGTGGGGTTGTCTTATAATTAGGGTCACATTATTTAAATAAATATGGTACTACTGGTTGGGCTCAGCTTATGTCCATTAATTTTGTTGTGGTGTATGACCTTAAACAGCTAGCTGTAAACACAAATGAATTAGGATAGTAATGAAGCCTGGACATGACCTGCATGCCTAGCAGGCATAACAGCACTTTCCCTGCACATGGATTAAGCATCCAAACAGGAGTCAAAACAATTCTTTTAGGCTAAATTGCAACCATGTAGTAGATAAACTTGTTAGGTGCTATGTTGAGGGATCTGCACCTGCAAATTAAGATCTCTGTAAGCATACAAAGGGCTAAGAACCATGGAAGTACTGGTGCAAAGATGTCTTGGCGGGCAGATTGGGATCTTCAGTGGTGCATTTCAAAACCTTTTTCACATGTTAGGTTTCACAGAGTTCTGTGAGGTAGATGAACATTCTTTAATTTTACAGAAGGAAGAAATTGAGGCACAAATGAAGTGACTTGTTTAAAGGCACAGAGCAGAAATGTCTGTGCTAAGAAGTCTTACCAGATTCTCTGCTGTTACCTTAGACCAGTCTTCTCATTCCCAAAATCTAAATAAGTAAAAGTTAAAAATAAAACCCAGAAGATAGGATTTCTCAACATTGATACGAGAAGCAGTATCACGTTCTATGATGCCTGATGCTTGGTCAAATATAATTTGAGCAGAAATTTTAGGTTGGCTTTATTTTTTGTTGCCATTTTTTCTCTCTCAGTTGAAGACAACGTATTAAAGTACACTGTTTCTTTTTAAGTTTTTTTTTTTTTTTTTTTTTTTTATATTATTATTTTTTCAGGTTGAAGATGAGGATGATATTGAATCTGGAGACCAAGGTGACGAAGACGAAGATGAGGATGGAGAAGAGGAAGAGCAAGATGAATAGTGCTTTAGTATTTCACCATCAGAAAACTAGAGATTGCATTAATATGAAAATAAACTAATGCTGTTGGCCTACAAACAACAGCTACGTTACTTAAGGAAGCAGGTGGGGAAAATAACTACAGGACTAGTTCCAAGATACTGAAGTAAAGTGTGGGAAATCTTCATTATAGCTGAAATTTAACATCATTGTTAAAATTATACATAAGCATCCCAAATTGAAAGAATTTAGAAGCAGCTTTAGACGCTGTTTAAAACATGGGGGTAACAATGCTACTGCCTTAGTTCATTGTCATTTACAGAAGTTCTGTGCATTTGTCTACATTTTACTTTCTTTTGGAACTCTTAACATAATTAAATACATATGTATTTGGTTTAACATTTGTTGGATGGAATCATTGCTTCTGCATTCAGCAGGGAGCTCATCATCATAACTCATGGCTTTTGTTAAGTTAAATGGCTATGTTGAAGGGACAGGGTGGGTGCATCTGGTATCGTACACACCATTGGCTACCTGTTGAACTGACTTTAAAAATGAATGGAAGTGTACAGTGTAGAGTGCCTTGACACCTGAAATAGCTGCATTCTGTACCTCATTGAAGAAACTAAAGGAAATTGCAGCATTATGCTGACAGCATGGAGAAGGTTTCATGGAAATCTGCAACAGTGTGGTAGCATTTTTAAGCTGAACATCTTTGCTTTGTTTTTTAGTTTTCTCTTTTTAAAGCATAAGAGATTTAATGTACTACCAGGTCATCATATAAAAACAAATCTGAATATTTGAGTCAGAAGAAAACACATCTATGATTTATATAATTTATTGGCTCGTTTGCCAAACAGAGATAAAAGATTAGATTTTAAAAAAAAAATCAAAATGATTACACTTAATGCATCAATTCATGTTTTGGTAATAAAAATAGTTATGATGTTCATTTAATTTTGTTGTCCAGTTTCAATTAAATGTATTTAATTATTTATATTTGAATCGGAGCTACTTAAAAATCAAAACTGGTTAGATTAAGAGGATGCTATCAAATGGCACTGAACTCATATATCATCAAACAAACTTGCCCATGGAGGGCGGGGGAGGTTCAGTTGTCATTCTTTTGACTTTACAGAATGAAAGTGTTACTGGATTTCCTCCAATGCGTTTTGGAGTCCCCAGCAATAAACCAGCCAGGTAGGATTTTGGCCAGTGAATTCAATGGCTGGTTGTTTGATAAATTAGTTTAAATATTCTTTTTCATTTGTTGATTACATAGTGAGCATAGGAGTAACAGCTGATGAAAGGACTGATTTGAAATGTTCATAACTGATAATGAGTTAAAGTAAGATGCGTTTCTTCAGTTAGCCTGTGCATAAAATTGACTGAAATCAATGGAGGAGGAGAGGGATCCAAGTCTATGGCAGTCAAATTTAGGATTTTGGAGCTGTATTGATAAAGGAGAGCAGCTCTGAAAGGTTTTCTTGATTATATAAAGCTACACGCCTGATGTGAACAACAGGCTAGGTATGCACTGGGCCTACAGTGTAAAACAAATTCTATATAATACTCTACCACAATGTTTAGTAAACTCCTGTTTCTATTTCATGGGGAATATTTTCCCTTTGGACTGTGATTGGTCAGCTTGATTCAAGTGATGCACAGTGGCCAAGCTTGATTTTGGTTCATAGACAAGTATGCAAGACGTCATCGTCTAAATGTACACAGTGTAACATATGTGAATAAAGTCATTGAGAGAGCTTGCATGTGACCAGGTAATGATAGTTTGGTGCCAAGCACAAATCAAAGGCTGGGATTCGAAGGATGAGGGTCGGGAACAGCTTGAATGAAATTGAATTAAAATACATGAGAAAAAGAAGCAAACCTGAGCAATAGCAAAAACTAATCATAAATAATCTGCTCTTGGCTGTGTCAGAGGATTGGAGTGCAACATCAAATTCAAAATGCCTTGTAAAGCATGTGAGACAGGATGGCTTGTGCTCCTTTCCCTTTAAGAGGGCAAGCAGCTTAATAGGTGGCAAAGGGGGCTGATTGGAGAGTCACCTGACCAGCAGGGGGCCTGGCTGGACCTATATAAGCCCAAGGCCTCATCTGGCCAGGCAGTCTAGCTCTGGCAGCTCTGGAAGTGAGGAGCTCCTGGCAGCAGAGCTCCTGAATTGATAGTGGAACTGAGTAAGTCTGCTGTCTCCAGATATCTACTTTTCCAAATCTGCCCACAAATGGGCGTTTTTTTTCTATGCCAAAAAGAAAACAACAAAACAAAACAAGACAAAAAAACTCACACCTTGATGACCATATTTGGTCCTCTGGGTCACTGTAGTGTAACTTACTTCCAAGAAAAGCCACTTTTATTCTGATGTTAGTCCATCTGAGAAGAGTTAAAGCAATATACAAATAAAACTGAAAAACCTGTGTAGGCAAGCTTAGGTTGTTGGACAGAGTGGCCAGTTGTAGGCTGTGTTGTAATGTGGCCTGAGGGATAGGCCAATACCAGAGAGGTAACATGATCTTTTGAAATATATAAAAATGACCTTCAGGAAAGATACATTTGTAGTTGAAAATGAGTTGGAAGTAAGTTACGCTGCAGTGGCCCAGAGGTGTATTGTATCTGATTCATTAGACTGCTTAGAACTACATGTTAGCATATCCTCAAATGTAGAGCTATGCTAGAGAAAACTGGGAACAGATACCTGCCATCCTTGTTTGGTTTAAAATAAGCTGAATACCTTTGTAAAAGTTCTTTTCTTTTTGGCAAGCACTCACACTTGATTGAGAAAAGAAAGTGCAAAACTTCCCAAGTATTATCACAGAGAAGGCTTTAAATTTGACATAAATGTTAGAAAACCTTCTTTCTTTTGGTGGGCAAGAAACACATGAGGTCTGTTGCTCTAGTTGGCAGCAGTATCAAGCATAGTGCCCCAAGAGTTAATCTTGTGGCTAGCTTTGTTCAACATCTTCATCAGTGACCTGGAAGATGGGATGGAGTGTACCCTCAGCAAGTTTTCAGATGACACCAAGCTGGGGGGAAGTAGTAAATATGCTGGAGGTTAAGGCTAAGATTTGGATAGATCTAGATGAATTGGAAGATTGGACAAACATTTTTTCATAAAGTTCAATAAGAACAAGGACAAAGTCCTGCACTTAGAACTGAACAATCCCATGCACCAATATTGGCTGGGGACCAACTGGCAAAGCAGCCGCTCTGCAGAAAAGGACCAGGGCAGTTACAGTGCACAGTAAGCTGCATATGAGTTAACTGTGTGCCCTTAACGTGAAGAAGGCTAACAACATACTGAGTTGCATTAGTAGAAGTGTTGCCAGCAGATCAAAGGAAGTGATTATTCCCTTCTGTTCAGCACCTGTGAGGCCACATCTGGAGTACTGTGTCAGTTTTGGCCCCCACTAACAGAAAGGATTTGGACAAATTGGAGAGAGTTCAGCGGAGAGCAACGACAATGGTAGGGACCTGGGGCACATGACTTCTGAGGAGAGACTGAGAGAACTGCTTATTTAGAGTGGGGAAGGGAAGGCTGAGGGGAGATTTAATAGCAGCCTTCAACTACCTGAAGGGGTGTTCAAAAGAGGATGGAGCTGGACTGTTCTCAGTAGTGGCAGATAGAACAAGGAGCAATGGTCTTGAGTTGCACCAAGGGAAGTTTAGATTAGATACCAGGAAAAACTTTCTTACCAGGAGGGTAGTAAGGCTGTGAAACAGGTTACCTAGAGAGGCTGTAGACTCTCCATCCTTAGAGGTTTTTAAGTCCTGGGTAGACAAAGCCTTGGTTGAGATGATTTAGTTGGGGATGGTCTTACTTTGAGCAGGGGGTTGAACTAGATAACCTCCTGAAGTTCTTTCCAGCCCTCATTTTCTATGATTCTATGACTGTGTATCCACTTTGAATGCCTCTTCTATGCTGCTTTTCCCCCAGTTTGGAAGTCTTCATGCAAAGAAACAGTGGGATCTGGTGTGGATTCATTTGGTGGCATGCTTGTCCAACAGGAAGAGGCAAGGATTCTCTCTCTGGGGCTCTGAAAAGCTTTGCATGAAGTCCATTAATGTGAGTATAGATCGGGGCTGGCAATTATTTCCGCTGGCAGGCTGCTTAATGAGTTTTAGTGAGCTTTTGAAGGCTGCAAGGGTAGCCCCGCCCCTGGTCACCATCTTGGAACCAGAAGTCCCACCCCCTGACCTTTGCCACTGAAAGTCCACTCCCCTTCCCCCCATAAGTACTCCTTTTGGGAAGGGGGTTTGCCATCTTGGAATTGGGTGGAAAAAAAACAAATAGAACATGTTAAGAGTAGTGAAACAAAACTGACAAAGCCATAAGGGAAATAGAGTGCCTGAGCAAGGGACTAACATAAGAGGGATGGGTGTGAGTAGGGGAACACAACCAGGTTACAGAAAATACGTTAGTCAACTAAGCCTGGGGGTGGGAAAGAGGAGTGAGAGGGGAGGGGGTTATGATGCTAAAAGAGAAAATAGATGCAAACAAACCATTACAATAGTCCACAGTGGTGGAGGGGGTAGGTTGAAGAAGTTACTGAGTCCATAGAGTCCTATCGCAGGGGTCCTTGCCAGGTGGACTGGAGTGGTCCATGGTTGGAGAGTAGCTCTCAGAGCCCATCAGGTGCAGAGGGGAGTTCAGGTGGTCACCTGTTGGTCCGGTCCAGTGGCGGTCAGTCTGGTGGGGTCGGTGTATTGGCGCTGGCCCATGATGTCCTTGATGTAGATGTCATGGGACCAGTGGATGATGTCAGATACCATGAGGTGCCACATCAGCTTGGTGTAGTGGCAGGAGATGCATGCAGGGATGCTCCCGTTGCTGGGGTCCCAGTCTCCAAGCGTTCCCACGATGAGCATGTCGACTGTCGCATCATGGCTGCGGCAACTCAGGATGTTGGCCAGTGGGGCATACTTCTGCTTGTGAGCCCGGGTGTCGGTGAAGGCTTGGCGCCAGTTCTCGAAGGGGATAGTGACGTCCACAATCATGATTTTCTTGGCCTCCTTATGGGTGATGAGTATGTTGGGGCGCATCTGGCTTTCGCTGCCTAGGATGGCACAGTTTGTAGAGATGTCCCCTGCTGTGGCTGGGATGGCCTTCACCAGGCGGTCTTGGACAGCGTTGTGGCAGAGCTGCCAGGCTCTGGTGTGTGGGCTTCAGCTGCACAGCATGTAGGGGAGGGTCTCTGCCTCGTAGCCACACCACCAGCATCTCTTGTCCTGGTGGCTGAAGCAGACGGCCCCATTCAGAGGCAGGTATTTGAGGCTGGCACAGTGGAGGAAGTGCCAGTTTGAAGCGCGTGAAGCTCCCTCTGGGCATGAAGTGGTTCCTGGAGTCCCACTTGGAGGTGACATTGAAGACCTTGCCCTGGTTGGGTTTGGCACTCAGGTCGCTGGCATACTTGTTATGGATGGTGTCCTTCAGGAACCATTCCAGGAAGGTCTTCATGCGGGGCATCACAGTGATGCGGTCGGTGTGCATGGCTGGCTGAAGTGAGACTCCCAGCTCCTGGCGCTCTTTGGTCTAGGTCCAGGTTCAGTTAATGCGCTGCCCGAGGCGGCGTGTGGCATTGCAGACTTGGCTCCACAGCAAGGCAAAGTCCCCACCATCTCTGCTGAACTCTCCCTCCAGCGAGCTGCTGAGGAAGGTGGCTAGGTCACGTCCGGTGGGTTGCCTCACGATCCTCTTGCGGGTCGTCTTCTTGCCGGTGCTGGCTGCAATGATATTTACCATCGTGTCCAGGCAGGTCAGGAGGCGGTAGGCATGGGTGACCACTGTGATGTAGGAGAGGTCCCCCATGCGGGGGACGTTGGTGCCTCCCTGCCAGTAGGGGACATGCAGGATCTTGTTGCTGGCCCTCAGCGGCAGGTGCAGCCACTTCTTCAGCAGCTGCCACATCTCAGCATCCATCTTTTTGAGGGGGGTCTTGGG